GAAAAGAAAATCTGCTAAATACTACTACGAATTACGTTATAGGCCATGCCTATACTTTGAAAATGAAAATAAAATGGAGCTAAATCAAGGTAGCCGGTGGGCCCCGAAGGCAAGTGTCTCACCTCAGCAAAATAGCTTCTAGTAATCCTGAAATATTTAAACGAGTTTCAAGAAGTTATGTTGCAGCTTTACAATCAGAAAGTGCATTTGAGAGGAAAAAATCGTGTTGCAGCCGAGATATTTTATTCTGAGTATAAGATTTAGTGGTATTACGGTCGATCAAAATGATGGGTAGTAGCTGTTCCAACCAGTTCTAATAGAAAACTTGGTTATCATGCAAATGCCTCCTGAAACGCTATCGAAGAAAATTCGGAGCTGAGGCAAATGCATCGCCAACAACATTTTCCGGCAGTGAACATAAATGTGAAAAATAATGAGAAAACTCTAAACTGAGCGAAAGCGAGATATCATTAAATCTATATTTCCGAAAGGATAACTCGAAAAAGTATAAGAATCAATATATAGGTATTATGTACAAATATATGTAGAGTATTTACAAGACAAAAGCAGCAAATTCGAGGACTTGCTAAAATATTTTCGCATGCTTTACTGGGTTGCCTCCGGGAACTAGACAAAATGAAGTATTTTATTTTTCAGATAAAAAATGTGGTTAGCCAAGCTATGAATTTCACCTGCACGACGTCTCTTTAAGTTCCTGTTCGTTTCCACTGTTCGCGAAGAGCTATCACATGAGAAAGAACTATCTCCCATCTCCATTGGTAAATCAGTACCCTTTTGAAGCTCTTCGAAACTTTTGTTGAAGCCAGAATAACTTTCCCGAAAGCCAGGGGGTACTGATGATAACTTGAATAGACTAGGTGCATTACAAACTATGTCGATAAGCTATGAGGAAATATACCAAGATTTCCGCGTTTCAATGCTTTGGCTGTTAGGTCCAATTTGATTTTCACAGAAGGAGGTAGAGAAAAACCCCCATCCTGCGGGTCAAAACCTTCCTTGCTACTGTTAATTGCATTGTTTTTCTCGTTTGTTATAAGACTTCTTTTCATAAAATTCATTTTCAGAAGATTTTTGGATATACTTAGTGAATGGGACTGAGACATGTTGGGCAAGAAAGAAGGACTTGGAAGTCTAAACGTGAGGGGCAAGCGCCTACTTTAAAACTGGCATAGCATTAGATATAGACATAATACTTTAAAAATCACATAATGCTATCTACTTAATATAAAAATTAAGACAATCTAGAATTAATGTTCGATTTTTTTAAGTATTCTACTGAAGCGATTAATTAAGGCGGCATCTGCTAACTCAGCGCTGGGACTCTTTAGCCTCCCTTCCTGTCAGCATGGCATTCGACTTCTCTGTTTACCCTCCCAACTTTCATGAGATAGGGACTAGTTTTTTGCAGCAGTATTATCAAGCACTTCAGACAAATAAAGACACTGCGGCAAATTTTTTTCACGTATGCATCGTGTTTGCCTTACATCTAGGATCATGCTCTTATGACGTATGAGGGTGCCGCCATCCAGGGTCGTGAAGCGATTCAACGAAAGTTCAGAGTTTGTCTGATTATATTAATCCAATTTTTTAGGAGCTCCAGTGGAGTAAAATTCAAATAGCTGTCACAAATATTGATTGCCAACCCTGCGAAAATGGCGTAATTGTATTCGCAAACGGTCAGCTAAAGGTGCTTATATACGATATTATATTTATTTTTTTAGCCTGCTACTTTTTGAGTTTATTTTTGTCATTTTGTTTTTCTTTTATGCCGTTTATTAATGTGCTGCTTGACTATTTTTGGCATTACCTCAGCCTTATTAAGTCTACGGAGTCCTCGTTGTTTATACGTTTTAAATATTGTACTGATTATCCTATAATTTATTTTGCGCCTTCTTTAATTTTGAAGCA